TTGGTCTGACAGGACCTGCCTCTAATGAACCCATGTTGCTTGCCCCTAAGCATGATCTCCCCTGCTGGTCCCTCGCACATGTGCTCCTGGATAATTTTCTCAAAAAGCTTCCCCAGGACCGAGGTAAGACTAACAGGCCTATAGTTTCCTGGGTCCTCCATCCTCCCTTTTTTGAAAATGGGGACAACACTGGCCCTTTTCCAGTCCTCTGGCACCTCGCCAGAGCACCACGAGTGCTCGTAAACCTGTGCCGGGGTCCCACAATGACCTCTGCTAATTCCCTCAGCACTCTGGGGTGGAGATCATCAGAACCTGCTGACTTGAACACATCTAGACCCACCAGAAGTGGCAACCACGTGACACCTGCAAAGCATGGGCATGACTCAAGGGATGGAAAGAGGCCATAAATATAGTCTTTAAGGCAAGTACGGCCTTAGAAATGAGTACAGAGGGAAGAAGAGAGAGAGAGATAGCAAACATCATAGGCTCACCAGCCTCTGAGGGCAGCCTCCCCTCATTATCTTTTAATATTATATTTTAATATTAAGGTGCGACAGGCAAAGGAGTAAAGCGAGACCCTGGGAGGATGGGCAGGAGAAGGCAGCCACTAGGGGGCATCACAGCATCCCTTGGATGCCATCAGTGTTGCATGCTACTGAAGGGAAGCAGTGAGGAAGGCCAAAACAGAAACAGAACTTAGGCTGGCAACAAAGATTATAGGTAACAAAAAGTCCTTCTTTAAGTACATAGGGAGCAAGAAGGCGGCACAGGGTAGCATAGGGCCACTACAGGATGGACTAGGGCAACTCATAACAGATAGGATGGTCAAAGCAGCTCTTAAATGATTTCTTTGCATCTGTGTTCCTGGACACGGATACAAACACACCTCCCAATGAGACTTTAGTCTGGCTTGAGGGAAATACCAATCAACCAACGGTTAGCACTGACCTGCTAATGGGGCACTTGGAGGGGTTGGGCGTATTTAAGCCAGTAAGCCCCGATGATCTTCACCCAAGGGTACTAAAGGAATTAGCCGGTGTCATAGCAAAACCACTGGCGCAACTGTTTGAGATTTAGATTGGACATCAGGAAGAAATACTTTACAGTGAGTGTTGCCAAAATATGGAATGGACTTCCAAGGGATGTGGTGCTTTCCCCTACCTTGGAGGTGTTTAAGAGGAGGTCAGACAAGCACCTGGCTGGGGTCACCTGACCCCAGGACTCTTTCCTGCCCAGAGCAGAGGGTCAGACTCAATGATCTAAC